CTGGAGAAGATGGTATGACAGCCTTGTTCTATCAATCATTTTGGGGAATTATCAAATCTGATTTACTTTCCTCTATTTCCAGTTTCTTCAATGACCATGGTTTACTCCTAAAATACTGGAACCATACCATTCTTACCCTAATTCCCAAATGTAGCAATCCTGAGTTTGTGCATCAATTTAGACCAATTAGCCTTTGTTCAGTTGTGTACAAAATTCTCTCAAAAATTTTGGCTTTTAGACTTCAATCCTGCTTATCAGACTGCATCAGTGATTATCAATCAGCCTTCATCAAAGGCAGACAGCTCATGGACAATGTGATAATTGGTCAAGAGGTTTTCCACTTCTTGAACAGACACAACTCAGGCAAAAACTGCTTCATGGCCTTAAAATTGGATTTGATCAAAGCCTTTGACAGAGTTGAATGGCTTAGCATCAAACATATCATGTTACAAATGGGTTTCCACCAAAACTTTGTTAACCTTATCATGATCTGCATCTCTACATGTTCTTACTCTTTTAAAGTGAATGGGACAGTTGATGGCTATGTTCTTCCTACCAGAGGAATAAGACAGAGGGATCCTTTATCCCCCTATCTTTTCATCATCATCACAGAAATGCTTACAGCTCTGGTATCTCAAGCTACTGCCTCAGGTCACTTCACAGGCTTAAAAATTTCCAAGAATGGACCAGCCATCTCACATCTGCTTTTTGCAGATGACTCTTTGTTCTTTTGCAAAGCTAGTATTGATCAAGCTCAGGCTCTCCTTACCATCTTGGATAAGTACAAACTCTTCACTGGACAGGCTGTCAATCTCTCTAAATCTTCAGCTTTCTTCAGCAGGAATACTCCAGAACATCTGAAATCCCAAATCTGTGCAACTCTCAATGGAATCACCTCTCACAGATCTACTAAATACCTTGGCCTTCCATTGGGCATAGGTAGATCCAAACTAGATACTTTCAAATACATCCTGGATTCAGTCACAGCAAGAGTTCTAAACTGGAAAACCAAAATGCTGTCTCAAGCTGGCAAATCTGTTCTTATCAAAGCTGTTCTGCAGGCACTCCCAGTGTTCACCATGTCATGCTTCCAACTTCCTAAAACACTTTGTTCTCAAATTGTTTCCGTATGCTCTCAATTTTGGTGGAGTACTGGTGAGGAACAAACCAAAGGGATTCACTGGACTTCCTGGAAAACTATGACTTTGCCAACTGGAAATGGAGGAATGGGATTTATGGATCTACAACTCTTCAACACTGCATTGATTTGTAAACAACTCTGGAGGATTGTTACACAACCTCATTTGCTTGTCAGCAGGATATTGAAGGACAAATACTTCTCTAACTGCTCCATTTTTAAAGCTGTGAAAACTCAAAACTGCTCATGGATGTGGTCCAATTGGCTCTCAGTTCTCCCATCTTTTGCTAAAGGCTTTGCAACTAAAATCAGGAATGGAGAAGACACAAGGCTGGAAGATATAAACTGGGTACCAGATCTCCCATACCCAACACCACAGCTCATTGACATTGCCAGAGGTCATCTCATTTGGGTGAAGGAACTAATTAATGATACAGGCTAGGGTTGGAACCAATGGCTGGTGCAACAACTGTTCAGTGAAGAAGAAAGTAAAGCCATCCTCGGCATCAACACCCTTAACCCTACAATATCTGACCAGCATTTTTGGATATTCCACAACAAAGGGGTATTCTCAGTAGCCAGCACTTATGGGTTTCTGTGCAAGCAAAAACTGCAGCAAATGGATATCCCTAACAGCAGCAACCAAGGAGGCCATTCAGCCAATGCAGCTCTTCAAAGACTCTGGAAGCTCAAGGTGGAAAACAAGGTAAAAATCTTTATCTGGAAATGCTTGACAAACTCTCTTCCAGTGAAGACCAATCTGAGGAAGAGAGGAATGCAGATAGATGTTGTCTGTTCCATCTGTGGAGCTGCACCAGAGACCATGAATCACATCTTATTTCACTGTCCCAAAGCAGCATGTGTGTGGCATGTCTCTCCAGTCACTTGGAACTCCCAGAGCTTCATGGACACCTCCTTCAAATGCTGGTGGCAGTTCATCTGTTCCATTAGTAAAACAGAGTCATCAGAGGCAAGAATTCAGTTAACAACATATATCCTCTGGTGGCTCTGGAAGACACGCAACCTTAGTCTATTTGAAGGCAAGAATATCCCAGTGCAACTGATCCTTAAAGCTGCTCAGTCAAACTGGTTGGATTTCTCATATGCAAAGCAGCATGGAGCATTTGTCATCTAATCTCTTTTTCTAGTTTATTTTGTGTTGGTTTCTCTTTGTATGTAGTACTTGTGGATTTTGGGTTGTGTTGATTGTAGGCTTTTAGCCACCTCTAGGCATTGGCAGTGGAGGGTTTTTTTTCTTATGTACTTTGTTGAGGTTCTAGGCCGCCTTGTGCGTGTCCTCCCATTTCTCCTTTCCGGTTGGGTTGTAATATTCGAACGTGGTTCGCTTGAGCTTATTTAATAATATTTCTATCGTTTCGTCAAAAAAAAAAAATAAATAAATATTATAATAAAATATTATTTAATTCACATAAATATTAATAAAACGATATATAAATATTCATAAATCATTAAACATGTTGTTATAAAAGTATTGTTAATAAGATTATTTGAAGTTTGGACTACATCATATTCACGTAATAA